ATAATAATATGACATAAGTATTGTATTTTTCTACTTTTAAAACATTAAGCAGGGCATGGTTGGCAGGTGGATGAACGGGTGAAAACATATAGTATTTAAGAACTTCGCTAACGGGCAACTTTTTTCGATGGTCAGTTATTTTAAAACACATCACTCATAATCAGGCGTATCAGTTACTGCCGTCTGTATTTAAGAATACGAGAATGTATACACGTATATCCTTAACAGTATCTTTCATTTGAAAGCTGTGCAAAAGGCGAGTGTATATGTTTCATCTTGGCAGCTCGTTGGGAAGTGATTCACGTGGGGATGCCGTACCCCACTCATTCATGTTGTCCCTGGCAAGCAGTATAAACAAAAGTCCAACTCCTAAACAGCTAATATGAGTGGATAGGGGCATACAGCATATGTAGCAAAAATAACTGAATTCCCTTTTTCTACCTCTTCTAGATAATACCCCCCCCCCCTTTTTCCCCCTGGAATTCGAACTTGGGTCTCCTGTTAGCGACAACGAAGTGCCTTGCCGGTACACCGCAGACGGCGGTAAGGGTCTTCTGAATGACGTTAGAAGAGTCAGGGCCAATGGCAGAGATTATCGAAAAGGGTCATCACTAAATGATCTAAATTTTGTCGATATGTGTGTACAACATTTGAAACATGTATAGCAAACATTTATCTTATATTCTTCTTTTTCTACCACCTGTCAGTAGGTGTGTCATCGCAGGACTTCTGGGTAATATTACAAGAGCCAGGGCCAATGGCAGGCAGAATCGGAAAAGCTGGTCTCGTATATGATCTAAACAGTGTACACTATTTGATATAACAAAAATACATGTACTATTTTATTTCTGTTGTGTCTGCCACCCGTTGGTAGGTGTGTGAACGACACTTACAAAGGCCAGGGCTAGTGGCATGCAGTATCGAAAAAAGCTTTTCTTCTAAATGATTTAAATTGTGCCAATAAGGTGTACAACATTTAATATAACAAAAACTTCCTTATTTTCTTGTTTTTTTTCTGCCATCCGTTGGTAGGTGTGTCATACCGGGTCTTCTGAACAAGTCATACAAGAGCCAGGTCCAGTGGTTAGGCAGTATCGAAAAAAACGGGTTTCCTGAATGTTCTAACTTTGTGTCAACAGAGGCGTACACTATTATTTTATGCAAAAAAATAGACGTACTCTTATATTCTTATTGTTCTGCCATCCGTCGGTAGTTGCGTCATCTCGGGTCTTCTGAACGACACGTACAATTTTAAGGGTAAGGGCCAGTGGCATGCAGTATCGAAAAAACTGGTTTCTTGAATGTTCTAAATTGTTGTCAATAGAGGCGTATTGCATGATATGTATTCTATACTTTAAAAAATAGACGTACTCTTATATTCTTGTTTTTCTGCCTTTTGTTGGTAGGTGCGTCATTCCGGGTCTTCTGAACGACACGTACAAGATCCAGGGCCAGTGGCATGCAGAGCTGGAGAACAGAAGCATCCCGTACCTGCAGGATGACAAGGAGTACTCGGAATGTGAGGTCTACCGCTACACAAACGGCGTGGGCTTCTCCACCAACGTCACGGAGTCCTGTCATGCCTGGGTCTACGACAGAAGCACTTTTGACCGGACAGTGGTCACCGATGTACGGGTTTGGGTTTTGTCTCCTTTTTTGTTTGTTCATTCATTTGTTTGTTTTTTCGTTTATTTGTTTGTCTGTTTGTTTGTTTGTGGGCCAACGACAAAGACACATTTAATTCAATTGTACGGTGGTCACCAACGTACGGACTTTTGTTTGTTGTTGTTTGTTTGAATTTAGTTTTATAGTGTCGCACACATATTAGCAAAATCGACAGAACGCGGATATCTTTTCGTTACGGACGAAGTTCATTATGTGCGTGTTTTAAAAGTTAAGTGCAAAGAATATACTCCAACGAAAACATTTGGGACCTCAAAATTATTAAACTAGCTTTGTGGGCGTTTCCCTATGTGTGCGCTATACTGTATTTTAAAAAAATGGTGTTGTGTTTGCTGTTGTGTGTTTTTTTAAAGGAGTATTGGGGGGGGGGGGGGGGGTCTGTTTTTCTGGGGATTGATTTTGAGGGCAGGGCCGAGGGGGTTGAGCCGATTTTGAGCCTATGATACTTATATGATACTTTTCTGATGTCTTTTTGCATACAGAAAAACCATTTAGCTTACAGGGACCATTGATCCAAGAACTACTACTTCTTAGAATATCTTTTAAGAAGGTGATATCAGTGGTGTGATCATTGATCTCTTTGTCTTGCAGACTCAAAAATTTGATTTCTGGGAGGGAAAGTTAATTCTATCAAGGGTCTCCATAATATTTTTGCTGGAATGCCGAGTCTCACTGTAATGACGGGCTGGGTCGAAGCAGCCCAAATACATAAATAGCATCATTTAAGATGTGGAGCATTTATAATCGAACAATATTAAATATAGTTTCCAGAGTAGAGAATTGTGGCTACAATTTCGATTCCGAAGCGGGCATAGATTGACTCGGTAAGTAAGGGTTTCTGGTTGGGAGGAGAGTTGGGGTAACGGTGTCCTGTAGTTTCGTTGTTTTGTACTTGGTGTGTGATTTATTCATTTATGTTTATCCCATCATTATACTTGTCTAACAGCTGTGCTTAACCAAACGTATTGTAGAACTCCTACATATATTATAACAGTAAAACATTCTTTTTTTTTACTTTTTTTTAACGCTTTTGAACAAAAGTAGTGAGGTCCACAATTAATTCCCAGGTAACGATTTCGGAAAAAAACCCAACAAACTAACTGTTAGATTAAGAATTGCTTACACTATAGTTTTGCATTGTCTGGCTATATTAGACTTTATTGTTTTGGGGTGTACAGCCATGTGATAGAACGCTAGCTAGCTGCTTTAAGCATATGGGCAACGCTTTTAGCTGTTTTTTTAAACGGATTTTAACAGATGATACACTTAGTTGTTGTGTTCTGGAGGCTTTATATATATATTTAAAGTATACTTGGGCCCAGTTGTTTCTGGGTTTTTAAAAATTCAGATTGCGCTTCTTTCGAATATTACAGCTTACTTTAAGTACTTTATGAACTGATGTTTAAAAAGGTGTAACTTGGTTCCGATTTTTACAATTTTTAAATTCATCTTTGCCAGGAGGAAAGGCACAGTTTGTTGAATGATTTAGAGCCAGAAAGGCCCCACAATTAACTCTTTCTCTTTCACTCTCAGCTCAACCTTGTGTGTGGTGACAAAATGTTGCGGACTTACGCCAACATGATCTTGATGGGAGGACTGTTGGTTGGATCCCTGGTCCTGGGTTCGCTGTCCGATGTGTAAGAGATATAGATTTATTTACAATTATAGCCTAAAACTTGGCTGGTTGTAGGGAATAATGTGCGCAGTAGTAAGGGTTCACCGCCATTTGCTACACTGCAAGGCTATTTAAAGGGCGGGACCTCCGAATTTAAATTCCGTCTCCGATAGGACCAACCTGAAAGCACAGGACACACTAACGAACTGAACTGAGTCTCGAACCCTTGAATCTGTAGTCTCACGACTACGACTACGAGTCCGGAAGCCAAATCACTAGGCTACAGACGACTGGTCTTTACTACTTGACGTTAGCTGGAGTATAGCCAGGACAGTAATGTTCGAGTTTTGAGACACTTTCAACCCCGCATGATAATTAATATTTTGATTTTCGAGTAAATATGCCCCTCAGATAGAATAGACAATATATGTGGGTGGTAATTCATTAAAAGTTTTGAAACAATCCTCGTTGAAATGTGCGGACAGTGTCTTGGCGGAGATTTGAAGTCGTGTCGGCACCTCTGAAGTCCAGCGTGACAACGCTTTGGATAACAAAAACATGTGCCTGGTACAAGAATCTCGTCACCGTATACAATATCATAGGCTGTTGAAAAGAGGAATTGATTAAGATAGAAAAGAGGAAGCACGAAAAAGATACCAAAGGAGGTACACACGGTAAACGAGAAGATTAGAGGGGAGGGGGGATCTTGCTTAATTCTTTATACCCATATTTTCATGAAGTACTTAGCCTACAGGCCTGCAGTACACCAGCGTCTGTAGTGTAGAATTTAGGCGTATTAAGTATCTCCATTTGCGTGCTGGGACGTTGTATCCCTTACAGCCTAGGTTGGCCCAAGCAGGCAGGGTTGAACCAGCTCGCCTCCTAAATGGTCAAAATAGTGTCGATATCAGCGTAAAACACCTCAAATTACACATCTTGCTTGCTGCGCTTCTAAACTCGTCTTCAGAAGTCGTTCTAGATCTTTTGAACAAATACCGCTACATTCGATAGAAGAACATTAAATTCTGTTTTTAGATTAAAAAGAAAAAAATTAAACACATAAAATAACATGGTTCAGGAAATAGGATTCAACCTTTTTTACACTGCAAGTTTTGTGTGTCCTTGACTAGTTAAAAAAAAAAACATCCTTGTGCTCATCGCTAGGGGAGGACAAATATTGACCTGCCCAGTCCTTGAAAGAAAATGAAAAAGAACTGTTTCAAGAAAATCTGGCGAAAACATCGGTCAGGTTGACCTGTCGACGTGCATGCATGTACCTCCTTTATGCCCTATTTTCCGCCCTTGTTTTTCGTTGTAATTCATGACACTCGTCTCTAAAAGCTTTTACGGCGCATCCAAATGCTGTATCTGCTTGTATAATACCTTTTCAGATGCAATCTGCTCGTTTTAGATGGTTATTGATATCTCTGCGATATGTTTATTGCCTTTCATTCAATGTTGTTTTACAGATGACTGTTGATGAGTCTTCTGTCTTATCTCCTTTTTATTCCCCCATTCGACCTCGTTCTTCTTTTTTTCTCTACGTTGTCCTCTCTGCTTGCCTGTCGCTGTCGCTGTCTCTCTCGTAACATCCCCCTCTGATTTGTCTGTCTGTCTGTCTGTCTGTCTGTCTGTCTGTCTGTCTGTCTGTCTGTCTGTCTGTCTGTCTGTCTGTCTGTCTGTCTCTCTCTCTCTCTTTTGT